TGGCCTATGACTTTCTAAACCATGGTGGCTCTGTCACTGTCTGTCAACTCCCAGCTTACCTGCACGCTCCACACTCAAAAGTCCCATATCCCTCGTGACACTTTGGACTTGCGGGGATGCCTTCGCTTTGGCAATCACACTCACAGATGAACTGAAGAATAACCTCTACTTCTTCAGTGAAGCCCAGGGGCTTAATTTTAATGACTTCAGAATCCTTATTTGGACATTTATTTGAAGTTATGCTAATCTCAAATTGAACCTTGAAGGAAAAAAACAAGATTAAGTTAATAAATAACACAGCAATTTCATTCTACTAAAAAAATATTTCAAAAAGTTACTCATTTCTTTTAACGTTTCTCAAATTATAAACTAAATTTTCTTACAAATAAGCAATTTTTTCTTTTCTACAAAAAAAAAATGCTTTTATACAACATACCTCATCTCCAATGGAAATATTGGAACATTTTCTTCCGTTTTCCCCTGTTCCATTCACCCCATTCTTGCAGAAGGATTTGTAACTTATAGTTACTTCTTCTGACAATTTGCCGTTTTCCAAAATGACTTCTGAGGAAAGGGACTAAAAGAAAGCCTAATTATACATCAGAAAGTCAAACCAAATGGTACTTGAAATGCATAAGACCAAGGAGTAAAATAAACTATTAAAAAAAAATATATCATTTCAGTAAAATATTTTGAAGCCAAATCTAATTGAGTGACTAGAAAACACAGAACCCAGAGTAACAGGCTCTAATTAGTAAAGATCCAATCTTCAAAATAAAATGAGCAACTGAAAAGAGTATTTGTTTTAATTACTGAGTTAAAATATTAATGAACATACAGGCCTGTTATTAATTATGAGGAATCCTAAGAATGCAGAAGAAATGTTTTCTTACTCCATTGGCTGAATGGCTCTCCCGTGGCCTGACCTCTTCCAGCTAACCATGGACTAAGGTAAACAATCTACTATGCAGTCTGGGAACAATGTGCTCAGGAGCCATTACAGCCTGGCCAAAAAATAAAACCAAAAACCCCCAAGGAGGAAGGACTTAAGCCAGTGCTTATTTAAAGTATCGGACCTCTCAATGGAGAAGGCTGCAGTGGCAAGCTAGCTCTTGTTCACACCCATACAAGGATAGGAGTGAGGAAAATAATCTGTTAAGACAGAGAGTTATGGGGAAGACATGGAACAACTAGAATCTTATAAACCTTTGTAAAAACCCCTCTCTCCGAGTCAGGTCTTTCCCAAACATTTTGGGACCCCCATGGCATGAGGTAAAAATACCTAAAATTCAACCTGCCAAAAGGCTGGGGCATGGCGGTTGAAAGCGGCAGATGTAGCACATAAGGGACACCATAATACTACAAATGCCTCAGATGATTTAAAATGATTATTAACCAATGCTAAATGGGTACCATTAAAGGTACTCTGAATTAAGCTCTAAAAGGAGAAGCTCAATTCAACTTCCTTCCATGTGGGGAAAAAATCCTATAAATCCTTTTTAAATAGGCAAGT